GCACTGGGGCTTGCAGCCTTGCAACTGGCACAAACTGTGTAGCCAGCCCGTGCCCCTTTAAGGGGTCCGTGGCCAGGAGGGGTGCAATAGAGTTTCCCTGGTGTTGGCCAGATTGGCCACCAGGGAAAGCTGGGGAGGGCTAGCCTCCCACTAGTTCGAATTAAGGGGCTACACACCCCTTAATTCGAACTAGTAAGTTCGAAGTAGGCTTAGTCCTCGTAGAATGAGGTTTACCTAGTTCGAACTAAGCGCTCCGCTAGTTCGAATTAAGTTTGAACTAGCGGAGCGCTAGTGTAGCGCCTATCAAAGTTAATTTGAACTAACGGACGTTAGTTCGAATTAACTTTGTAGTGTAGACATACCCTAGGAGACAAGCAACATAGTTTTGTTCTATCCAGATATAAGGCCAAACTCTGTGAGACAGCTAAGGTAAGAAAAGACACCTCCTGTTGAAAACTCTGAGGTTCCGGGAGGGGAAGCAATAAATGAATAGACTGATTAAGATGAAACTTGGATAAGACTTGGGAATTTAAGAAATACATAATTTAGGGATGTAAAGAAACCTTGTCTTTGAAGAATACCATGAAAGGGGGATCTGTCATTAAGGCCCCAATTTCTCCATTTCTTCAGGCTGATGTATGGCAATCAAAAAGGTCATTTTTATAGAGTGGCTTCTCAAAAGCAATATTAAAAATAGATTTATTTTTAGACTAAAGACCAAAAAAAATTATTGACAAACATTTGACTTAAGTATTTTAAGTATATTGTCGTACATGTGCTTTCAGCTTACCTTCCAAAGCACATTTCTGAGCACTTTTACTGACAGCCAACAGAGACAGTAAGGCACCTGAAACAACTCGTTTCAGTGCATTGTTAGAGGATTTTCCTTCATAATTCTGCAAATAATGAAAAAATTTTAATACACAGGAAAAGTAAAACATATACTGGAAAAATGTTCATATTTAGGCCTGTAACAATGATGTATCAATTCTTATTCTGATTATGCAAAATTAGAACAGTTCAAAATTCAAAATTTCCCACAAACCAGAGATTATGAAAATTTTGTTTCAGAAACACTAAAACATGTTTCCAAAACAAAATGTTTTATAGCATCTCATCAGTTACCTTGACATGATTCTTGTTAGTTGCACTGATGCCCACAACTGAATAGAAGTGAAACTGACCTGTCAGGGTTTCCAGCATCCTTGCTGAAGGTCAAGGCTCTAGGCATGAGGGAACCTAAGCTAGGGCTCCCAGGCTCCCATTTCCACGGCAGGGAGCTTAAAGACTCTGAGAGGCCCAGCTAGAGCTGGGGTTGCTAGGCTCTTAGTGCCATCACAGACACCTGGAAATATTGAGTACCCCCATTATTTTAAGGCTACTACCGCAGTATCAGGAAGCCTGGAAGCCCGAGGACCCTGACCCCATGGCAGTTGGCATGATGGAAAACGTACCAGAAATGTGACTAAAATTAATGAAATTTGTGCTGCTTTCACTAAACATTTCAGATTCAGCCCCTCCGCCCCATGGACATGAATATACGTAACTCAAAGGTGCTTTGAGCAAATCATTTCATGTAACCTATCAATCTTTATGGCATGATCCGCCAGTTCTGTTTATCTTAGTTTGATGTGTGTATCATTCTTGTGTGTAAAATTAGACATATGGAGTAGGGAATACTTTATGATTTTAAAATGTGTGAATGCAAGTCATCAAGGGAGGCCTCCGTTTCTGGGAAGTCATATGCAAATAGCCTTCTGTCCATAAGGCTTAGCAGTGGTTTGTAGGGAGTGGCCAGGTGATTCTCCATACAACAACAGAATTCTTTAAAAGGATAGGACGATAAGAGTCTTTTGTCTGGGTTGCACCTAAAGAAAGGAGCTGAAGACCCCAGGATGGTGGAGATAGCCCTAGTTTGGAGGGGCTCCTGGAAAAGAGATTTTAGGGTGAGTTTGAAAAGTTTTTACTGAGCTTTCAATGTAGAATTAGCCAAGTATTTTGTTTCTTTTGATTTGTAACCTACTTTGCTATGCTCATTCGCACTTACTACCACTTAAATCCTATTGTTTGTACTTAATTATTTATAAAAAGTGATTTTATTATTACCTAGGGGAGCAATCAGTGTGCACATTCTCCCTTTCATTGTTAAAGGTGGCTTACCTAATTCTTTTGGATTTTGATTCCATTGGGGGAGTGGTGTCCCAGGAAGCTGGGTCCTAAACTGTTCTCTCCTCAGAGCTGAAAAGGTTCAGTGTCTGTACTGCTTCTCAGTGGGGACAGGGATCTCAGCTTGGGGCGATCAATGGAACTGGCCCAGCAGGACCGGGTGGTGAGGAGCCCCAGAGAGTGGGAAGACTAGTGGCAGTGGTCGAGACAGCACCCTGGGAGGCACCCGGGGTCTTCTGAGACTGCAGCCCATCACACAGCCAATCAGCATTGTCTGATCAAACAATTTTCCAACCAGCTCTACTCTCAAGTAAACTTCTGTGCACCAGATATTTCCTTGCCCATACTCATATTTATAGATGATTCAGAAATATCTCCAAGATGTTGCATCACTTTCTCAACTGAAATTAATTTCTTTTTTCTAATCACATTTCTCCTTTATTTGCTTTTCTGTCACTCTTGATGAACTCCAGTATCATCTCTATCCATCAGGCTCACAATCTTGGACTTCTGTGAGACTCATCAGACCTTCCCACAGTGGTCAATGCTAGGTGCCCCCAGAAGGAATGAACAGAACAGGTAATCAAGTGATCCCTCTCCTGTTGCCCATTCCTAGCATCTGACAAACAGAGACCAGGGACACCATCACTGCCCGTCCTGGCTAGTAGGCAGTGGTGGGCTTATCCTCCATGAATTTATCTAGCTCTTTTTTGAACCCCGTTAAAGTCCTGGTCTTCACAACATTCTCTGGCAAGGAGTTTCACAGGCTGACTGCTTTGCATGAAATACTTTCTTTTGTTTGTTTTAAACCTCTACCTATTAATTTAATTTGTGATGCCTGCTACTTATGTTATGGGAACACTTTCTCTACACCAGACATGATTTTATAGATCTCTATCATATCCCTCCTTAGTCTCCTCACCTGCCTTTACTCAGGACTGTTTCACTAGCTTCCAACTGTAAACCACTAGGTCAAGGAATTTTAAGATGAAAAGTCAGTCTTTTTAATTTCTCTTCATATAACAGCCATTCCAAACCCCTAATCCTTTTTGTTGCCCTTTTCTGAACTTTTTCCAGTGCTAAGATATCTTTTTTGAGATGAGGTGACCACATCTGTATGCAATATTCAAGATGTGGGTGTATCATGGATTTCTACAGTGGCAATAAGATATTCTCTGTCTTATTTGCTATCCCTTTTTTAACGATTCCTAACATTATTTGCTTTTTGACAGTTACTGCACATTGAATGGATGTTTTCAGAGAACTATTCACAAGGACTCTTGTCTGAGAGAACTCAAGGTTCAGACCAGTTTAGTTTAACTTCTGTGCCAGGTAAGATAATGGAGCAAGTAATTAAGGAAATCATCTGTAAACACTTGGAAGGTGGCAAGGTGATAGGGAACAGCTAGAATGGATTTGTAAAGAACAATTATGTCAAACCAATCTGATAGCTTTCTTTGATAGGATAACGAGTCTTGTGGACAAGGGAGAAACGGTGGATGTGGTATACCTAGACTTTATTAAGGCGTTTGATATGGTCTCGCATGATATTCTTATCAATAAACTACGCAAATACAACATAGATGGGGCTAATATAAGGTGCGTGCATAACTGGCTGGATACTCAGAGATTAGTTATTAATGGAACCGCAATCCTGCTGGAACTCTGCTGGGGTCTGTTTTGGGACTGGCTCTGTTCAATATCTTCATCAACGTTTTAGATATTGGCATAGAAAGTACGCTTATTAAGTTTACAGATGATACCAAGCTGGGAGGTGTTGTGACTGCTCTGAGGATAGGGTCATAATTTAAAATGATCTGGACACATTGGAAAAATGGTCTGAGGTAAACAGGATGAAGTTTAATAAAGACAAATGCAAAATGCTCCACTTAGGAAGGAACAATCAGTTTCACACATACAGAATGGGAAGCTACTGTCTAGGAAGGAGTATGGCAGAAAGGGATCTAGGAGTTATAGTGGACCACAAGGTGAATATGAGTCAGCAATGTGATGCTGTTACAAAAGAAGCAAACATGATTCTGGGATGCATTAACAGGTGTGTTGTGAGCAAGACACGAGAAATCATTCTTCCGCTCTACTCTGCGCTGGTTAGGACTCAGTTGGAGTATTGTGTCCAGTGTTGGGCACCGCATTTCAAGAAAGATGTGGAGAAATTGGAGAGGGTACAGAGAAGAGCAACAAGAATGATTAAAGGTCTAGAGAACATGACCTATGAGGGAAGGCTGAAGGAATTGGGTTTGTTTAGTTTAGAAAAGAGAAGATTGAGGGGGGACATGATAGCAGTTTTCAGGTATCTAAAAGGGTGTCATAAGGAGGAGGGAGAAAACTTGTTCATCTTGGCCTCTGAGGATAGAACAGGAAGCAATGGGCTTAAAATGCAGCAAGGGAGGTTTAGGTTAGACATTAGTAAAAAGTTCCTAACTGTCAGGATAGTCAAACACTGGAATAAATTGCCCAGGGAGGTTGTGGAATCTCCATCTCTGGAGATGTTGTAGAGTAGGTTAGATAAATGTCTATCAAGGATGATCTAGACAGTATTTGGTCCTGCCATGAGGGCAGGGGACTGGACTCGATGCCCTCTTGAGGTTCCTTCCAGTCCTAGTTTTCTATTACTACAACATTGCATGGTTACTGCAGAGACTATATATTTGGTGGAGGTGCTTGAAGCATCCATTGCTGCTTGTAAGACTGTCACCAGCTTCCCTATGATGTCCTTAAGAACCTTTCAGACAGTACTTTTGTTAGCCCATTGTGGGGTCCTGAGCAGGATATTTCTGGGCCCTCTCACAAGCACATATTAATGATTAATAGGTTGCCCTCTTGAGCTGCTTGGGCCCTAAGCTATTGTTTACTCTGCATATAGTAGTGCCAGCTATCCTTTTAGTGGTCATAGGGGAGCTTTGAGAGACAGGTATTCACCCTGTCCCATGTGAGAAAGTCACACGTGTCCCAGCAAGTCCCTGTTTGACACAATGTATATGCAGTGAATCTGAGGAGTACATCTTGCTTTCAAAGAGACTGAGTCATTTGTAGTCCTTGTCCTTAGGCATACTTTTGCTCATTCTCAATTTCTCCTTCCCAGCCAATATAACTAAGAAGCCTGAGAAGAGGTGAGTGGAAGTAGCAGACCTTTTGAGGGTTTATTTAGTACCTCTTGATTCATTTCACCATTGATGGTATAGTGGCTGGTATGCGCCACAAGTGTTTGGCTGGATCAAGCAGTCCTTCATTAGTGGGGAGAGTAATCCGGATGGACCAGAAACTGACAGTCTACCAACTTGTTGGACTTCTCTGAAATATTCAGTGTCTGATTCTACAGTCTCACAAAGGCGCATCTGAAATGCATTAGAATTGTTAGGTGCCAAGCACAAACCTCTTTATCCAGCAATGAAGAGAGATCCTTTGGAGGCAACATAGGAAGTGATATTACTCTGTTCCTGGATGTGGCTCCACCTGATATTCTGGCATTGGTAGCCTCAGCAGGGATACCATCTAAGGAGAAAGATCTTTTGCTTGTTCGTGGAGTGCCCCCTTTCAGTGCTTGACTGAAAGAATACCAAAATGTCCCTGCAGACTTTGACACTGAAGTTACTTTGGTGCTGGGGCTGTAAGCATTGGCAACTTTGTTTCCTTGCCATCTTAAGGGGCGCCATTCTGACTGATACCGGCATGTTCACTAATGGAATTCTGGAACTTGTTTTGTTCAAGATTGTTCCAAGTAAGTGGAATTTCAACCTTGCATGTGTATTGTAGCAGAGAAGGACAAGAATTCTAAGCATCTGCTCAGAATGTGCAATAGCCCCAAGCAATAGAGACATGTACTGTGTTCATCCTTCAGGGACAGATAGGGCTTGTCATTTTGAAGAGCCCTATATAGGGTGTTTGAGTATAGAGGCAGTCTGGCCAGAAATTTCAGTTCAGAGAGGTCACAACTGTCAAGATCAGATCAGAAATAGCTCTGAAGGTATGAAGAAATTAGCTTGAGATGTTTGAGATACATGGCAGATTCTGTCTTTTTGCCAAAGACAAGAGGGAACTGAGGATTGTGGTCACTGAAAAAGAGGATTTACTTAAGATAGCGAAGTCCAATGCTGACTGAATACTTAAAAAAAAAAAATCTAAAAAACTGGGTGATGGGTCAACAAAATGGCAGATAAAATTCAATATTGATGAAATACAGAGTAACTCACATTAGAAAACATAATCCCAACTATGCACACAGAATGATAGGACCTAAATTAGCTGTTTAGAAAGTGATCTTGGAGTTACAGTGGATAATTCTCTGAAAACATTGGCTCAATGTTCAGCAGCAGTGAAAAAAGCTAAGAGAATAGTAGGAACCATTAGGAAGGGGACAGATAATAAAAACAGAAGTCTCATAATACTATAATCCATGGTACACCTTTTACATTTTGATAAACATCAAGAAAATTCTTCAGCCAGAGAGATCTATAATGTTGAGGAACAGTCTCTCAATGGAAGAGGTAGAAGTTAAATGCTTAGCAGATTTAAACCCAGATTGTACAATGCATTAGTCAAAATTCTGTAAGCAATAATCAGACACTTACAAAGACTGGACTAACTGGCCAAATGGGTTTCTTAATCCCTAATCCCAATGATTGTGTGGTGTTAAAAGGCACTCTTCTGATGTCATTTACAGAAGAACAAACAAGGTCTTGATCATTAAATACTCCAAGGCATCTTAGGAATTCCTTGGCAATAATTCAAGTATTTTGGGCAAATTTAAATTTGTTTAATTATATTTTAATTATGTAAATCTTCCCCTGTAGATCAGATATTGTATACATTTTCTACCCCAAACAACTGTGCAGCATTGTCATGTCGTATTAAACAGCTGTCATCTTCAAAGAAAGCTGTATAAGTGATGGGAAGTGATTTCTACATGCAGTTTATAAAGAAGTTTGTTTGAACTGCTCTGTGTTCTTTACTAAGACTAGTTCTCAGAACAGGTTGGCCTAATTTTTAATTAGACGTTCAGCATTACAATACAAACACAATATTAATCATATAATCAAAGCCATAATACCATCATATTAAATTACTGAACATAAATTTATACCTGAATTATTAATTCAGTAAGTTTGACTACTGATGCCAGATTTTCTTCAGCTTCATCTAGAAGAAAAGTAATTGTTGGATTGGGGCAAATATTTTGTGTATCTTGGAGCTGTCTTTTCCCCTCTTCAGCCAAGAGAATGGAGAGGAATTGCAAGCTGGCCACATATAAGCTGGGGCATTCGATGGACAGATGCACACAGTCACAGATTGTATCTAAAAGGTCAAATAAATAACAGACTTTTCTTTATTTCAGCATCAAGACATATTTGAACATTTCAGAATAGAACAGACTAATCCATGAAATTAAAAAAACAAAAACACAAATGAGTGCTGAAATTGTTTAGCCCACCTTCACTTGTTATACAAGTCACGTGCTTACATTTTTTAGCCATTTTGTATAAAGCTTGCATTATACTAAAGAAAGCAACAATCAGAAGCTTATTCATTAGAAACTGACTCTTAGCTGAAGTGCAGTTAGGCCCCGGTTCAACGAATTACTTCTCACATGCCTAACTATAAGCACAGATTTCAATGGAACTCCTTAGATAATTAATAGCAGGCATATGATAGATTGCCTAGTTGGATCAAGATCTTAATTATAATTATTAAATATTTGTTTAACCATTTAGTCTATTATACAATAATGAGTGACTACTTAATGACTCAGATGCAGCAAGAAAAAGTTGTGACCTTTAAACTATTTTCCAGGCTTTTATGGTTTTGTTTGAGTTCTTACATTTATCTGAAACTAAGTGTAAAAAAACAAAAACAAAAAATATGCCCATAGCTTATTTCAACCTCTAATTAAAATTGATTTACTTCATTCCAATGTTTAGAACCAAAAACCGTTGAAGTCTATACAAACAAAATTTGGGAAGGTGTGTAATTGCTGAGAAATAACTTTACTTAACTATATAAGAAAAAGTTTAACAACAAACAAGGATAAAAATACACACCATATCTTCTCTGTAAGAGCAGACACATTTTGTTTATTGTTATAGACGTGTCCTTTATAAGTATTTGATAGCATCTAATCAAATGTCACCCTCATTATTTGCTTCAAGGTTTAAATCCATCTAAGAATAGGCATTACCAATTATTGTAGTCCAATGTTTTTCAAGAGCTGCTGTCACAGATGGAAGAATTATTTGGCCACTTTTCCTTAACAGCGTAGCCAGAAGGCTAAACAAGTCTGTTCGTGTTTGGTGAACTGCAGATGTTAACTCAGTATCTGTAAACAGAACACAGGAAGTTGATGCTATTAACACACACATACAAATCTGGATATCCACACCTGACCAAAGGCTTATATATTTTACCTTTAAAATAAGACATATTGACATTACTGGAAAAAAAGCAGACATGCAACACCCATACCCCACACACAAATAATTCTGTCCAAAACTAATTGTAATTGAATCCCTCCCCTTCTTTCATAATACTATGGTGAAACTGCTTGAAGATTGGAAAATAAATGGATAGCGGATATAAGTGTCTAAATATTAGCACATAGCAAATGAAACATGTGACTCTACTGTTTAATACCCAGTGCTAGGAAAGATAGTATTGATTTTGCTGAGTAACATTGCATCTGTTTGTCCACATGAGTGAAGTATCTATAAATTACCCAAGCCATCCATAGAACGAATGGAGAGGATTGTTAATATATTCCCCAAAAGAGGTTTCATGAGCTCATCCTGGATCACAAGGTGAATGTCTACCAATAAGCATGACTGTAGAAGCCTGGACACTGAAGAGGAGTACTGAAGTAGGAATAAAACCTGTTAAAATAGTAAAAAGGAAATAAAAGCTGTATCCTTTCTCCTACAACCTGATTTTACAGTATGATAAAACCTACTTTAGACAAACCACATAATGCACCTTTTTAAGAATCAATTATCGATATATCTATATAACAAAAAATTTCCTGAGGGATAACAGGGTGATGTCATCACATCACTGTGTCCCCAGGGCCCACATGGAGAGCTTGGGCTGCTGTGCTATTGCCCAGCCCTCCCCAGCAGCCAGAGGAAAAACCATAGCTGCTATGACCCTTCCCAGGGGTGGAGAGAAACTGGGGCTGGCGCGGCCTCAGCCCTTCTTGTCAGCTGGGGGGAAAGCCAGGGCTGCCTACCCGCAGATAGAGAGGAGTTGGGTGAGCATAGCAAGCCGGGGTACAGCCTTCTAAAGACAGAGAGAGAGAGAGGGAAGGTAGGAGGGAGAGACCGAGTATGTGTGTGCATGTATTCATATTCTCTCTCTTTCTCTGAACAGAGACCTACTCAGTCTAAGGCCCACATACTTTCTTTCTAGCACTCTTTTGTAACTCTCTGACCTGACCCAGAGAGAGAGATTTCTAAGAAAACTTTTATACCAAACTCCTACTTAAACTTGGTGGAACTTGCACTTTAAGGAAGATTTGCTTGCCTGAAAGGTATAGAGCAGTGGTCTCCAACCTTTTTAAGCACAAGATCACTTTTTGAATTTGAATGAGTCCAGGATCTACCTCAAATCCAAATATTCCTACTCTACCCCTTTGCTGAGGTCCCACCCTCCTCGTTCTGTGAAGATGCGGTACAGGGGATGGGGATGAAGTGAAATCAATGCCCCCTGCCTCTGTCTCCCCAACTCTGCACAACAAGCAGGAGGCTCCCAGGAGGCAGCTCTGAGGTTCTGGACAGGAGCAGTGGGGAGAGGGGCAGCTGAAGTGCTGGCCCTTGATAGCCTCCCAGCCAAATCAGTCAGGATCACCTGTCAGAGGCTCCAAGATCTACTGGTAGACCAGATCGACTGGCTGGTGGCCACTGGTAGAGGGAGAATAAATTCCAGTCTTTTCCTAGAGTGGGAATGGGGAGTGGGTGTTGGGCGGGGACCCAGGCCCACAGTCTACTCCAGGTTCCAGCCCACGGCCCTGTAATAGCAGCTGCCTATGTGAGTGTTTTCTACTGGTCCTGGCAGTGCTTTCCTCCATCCTCCCAGCTATTTATGCCAACCACAAACTACAGTGAAGCTCCTTTTATAACCAGTCTCAACTGGTTTATTTAACTGATCCCAGCTGTTCTAATTAGCCCAGGCTCAGCTGAATCTGGAAGTCTACTCAATCAGCCCCAGGTGCTCACCTGCTCCTGACTGACTCTGCTGGGTCCAGACTAGCCCCTCCCAGTTATTGTGAGAACAGAGATCTTCTCAGTCTAAGGCTAATATACTTCTCTTCCATTACTTTTTTGCACCACCTGACCAGACCCTGTCACAATATACATATACGCATACATATATACGTATTTTATTTTATTTCATTTCCAAAACAACTAAAGGAGTATTTCAAAACTCTCAAAAGAGACTTTCTAGGTAGGCTTTTTAGCAGTTTAAGTAAATTGTGTGATAAGATAATATGGCAGCCTTTTGCAGAGTTTGATATATAAATTAAGACTATGAAAGTTCTTTTGGATCCAACTTAGAGGCTGGAGCAGACCTTGGTCTCAGTTTTTCACCCCATACCTCAATGGTCAGCTTCACAAAATATCTGAGGCGTGAATAATGACTTCTCAGTACATGAATTCAACACAATGAATTTCAAGATTTTAAAATTCACACGGTGTATTTCACAATCATGTACAACTAACCTGAATTTTTGTATGTTCCAAGTGAGATGGATGAGGCAGAGGAGTTTTCAATTCCAAGATACATCTTTCAACCAGCCTAGCATTTACAAGACTAATGGAAAATATAGTATATAGTTACAGAATAAATTTGTTTCAACTTTCATGCAAAGCGTAAAATAAACTATGTTAATATGCTATTGAAGATAACAGTACATTTATTTATCTTAGAGTACAACACATTACAGGGATCTGGCAATTATCCCTAAATAATCATATTACAGTAAACTTCCAACAATCCGGCACCTTTAGGACCCAGGGGGGTGCCAGATTATCAGATATGCCGGACTAGCAGAAGGGGGGGGCTATGAGGGGTCTGGGGTGGAGTGTGTGTGGGGGGATGCGCCCCATGGCGCTGTGGGACCAACCCGGCAGCACCCCAGCTGCTCTTCCCCATGCTTCCGGGAGTCAGCCGCTGGTCAATTTCAGCAGCAGCAGACTTGGGGAAGTCTGGGGCAGAACTGCTGGGGTGCTGCCAGGTTGGTCCCGCAGCGCTACAGGACCAACCCAGCAGCACCCCAGCCCCGCCGCTCCCCGTGTCCCCAAGTTAGCCGCTGATGAAACTGACCAGTGGCTGACTCGGGGAAGCCGGGGGCAGAGCAGCTCCAATTGTCTGGCTGCCCGGAGCACTTCCGGGTTCCAGATGGTGCCAGACCATCAAGAGTGCCGGACCATTGGATGCCAGACTAGTGGAGTTTTACTGTAGTACAAACCTTAGTGTAGATGCTGTTTCACAGATATAAAGGTGTTTTGTGGGGTTTTTTTAAACAGATAGATTTACCGGTACACCACCTAATGTGGATGTTGTTATACCAGTAAAGAGGTGCTGATTCTAGTATAGTTTATTCTACTTCCTGTACTGGAATAACCTATACAGGTATAAGAACTTTTATACAGGTGTAACTGCATTCACACTAATAGGGTTTTTACTGACTTAATTACATTAGTATGTAACATATAGATAAGCCACTAATAAAAGTCTTAGAAATTGTAAGGAGTATCCTGCACTAAGATACAATTAGCAAAAGTATCACTGTATAAAAAAAACCCTGTCAGATATTTCCTTAGAATGACCAAATTAATTCTGAAGACCAGCATACTTGGAAGTCTTCAAACACTACACTGGGGGAGGAAGGGGAACCTATGGCCCATAGGTGAGACTTGGGACTTCCCCCATCCCCACAGCAGTGGGAGTCAGCACTGGAGCTTCAGCCACTAGAGCGGGAAGGGGATCCATGGCATGAGCACCAGCGCCAGCTCCCCACAGGGGAGGGTAGGAAGAAGCCACAAATCTCATGGGCTCTGCCTGGCAAAGGGAGGATATGGGTCTGTGCAGGGAAGTGCTCCCCAAGCCTGACCTTGAGCAAGGAAAGCAAGGTGGTTGCCTCTGGTCCTGCACCTTCAGGGACCCGCGCTGCCTGGTGCCTGCCAGTGGCTCGCTCATACCCTGGCTGGGAGTTTCCCAGCTGTGCACTTCAGCCACTGTCAGAATGCCATCTTGGGTCCCACAAACTCTTTGGCTGCCTCCTTCTGGTCCCATTGACTAAAAATAGCCACCGGTGTCCCCTCCGCTGCACCAGGTAGGCGCACCCATTCCGTTCCTGCACTTCACACGCACTCCTGCACCTTCTTCTTGCCCGGACACCAAACCCTCACCTTGCTCCTGCAGCCTCCATCCTGCTCAGACCCCCACATCCTACTCCTGTACTCTACCTCCTACTCGGATCCCACACCCTGACCTCTAGCCCACTCCCCAGCAGACCCCTCCTGCACAATGAACATCTCACTTTTGGCTCCACCCCAGAGTCTAGGGGGCCTCCACAAAATCTACTAGGGCTGGGCCTCCAGAAGAGTTAATCCAGCCCTGGTTAAGCCCTAAGCCTCCTAACTCCCCCTCCATGGAGCTGGACCTTCAGGGGAGTGTCTTTTTCCTCCTGCTCCTCAGTTCAGGGCTACATCTGTGAGGGTTTTATTTTTTCCTTTTCACTTGGGAGCAAGGTCAGTAAGGTTTGGTTTTTTTTTTTGCGCTTCTCGCTTATTGTTTTGTGGCCCCCAACTGATTTTTCTATGGGTCAGTAGCCCTGACTAAAAACGGTTTCCTGCCCATGCACTACAGTTTCTAAAACGAAAGTGTTTTTGTAATATACGGGAAATATATGTGTTTTAAAATACATATTAAGTTTAATCTGAGTATCAGTTTAATGTTTAGTATTATATCAACAGATTATGCATTTAATTGCTTTGAGCTGTTTTGAAAAAACAAATATGGTGAGGATCTCTAACCTAAGCCCTTACACAGCTGCCAAATATCACTTGAATATTTTTCCATTCCCAACCAAACTTTCCAATACAGTATACACAAACATGCACTTTGGACAATGAAAAAAAAAATCACAATGAAATATAATCACTTACAACTCTGAATGTCTGACTACATCATATATTCCATTCTCCAAAAATGGATGGATGGATAAATAAATGCCCATCTGAACAAAGGTTAATCATTACCAGTGGGAAAGAGAAGCACTTATGTCAACCTGTATTAGAAAGACTCACCCAAAATAATGTGAATAATCTATCTGGAAGTGGGTACCTTTTCTTGGAGCATAAAATGAACACATCTGATAGCTTAAACGCATTTTAAAAAAATAGTGTGAAAATTTCAGGAGTACCCAAGAGCTAATGTATACTTGACACAAAGTTCTAGTTAAAAATATGAATATTGGTCATCCTATACTGTTACATCTGTTTATAGCTGAGCAGTTATTGATCTCTTACCTACTGAGAGCTGTTAGTAAGTGTGCTTGTTGAAGAGCAATTCCAGTGTCCTTTGGAACAACCGCCAGCAGGTTGTTCAGTAGGCTGCACACAGCTGACAACAGTGGAGGTGTGACTAGAGCACACTTATTAGTCAGAATAACAGACTGGGGAGAATTGTGTGGACTTGAAGATGCTGTGGTCGTTGTATTACTCTGACCTAAAATATGGCGACCAAAACAAAAAAAAAGTCATCCCAAGACAAGACAGAGAAATTAAATAATACATAGAACTTTACAATTTATTTGCTACCCTCCATATTTTTAAACAGTAAAATAAGGGCTTCTTGGAACAAAAACATATGAATTTTCATATGGTTACACGTCCAACAACAAATAATTAAACATGGAATACTACTCGACAAACTGACTTGAATGAATAATCAGAAAAAAGACAAGTGAAAACATTAAAAATAATGAAATATGTCTTTTGCAGTATTTTCTTGAGTGTTTTTATTTGATCTTTTTTATAATAAAATATATCACAAATTATACAGATTTAGTAGGACAACACACAGATTCTATTATGAGGAATCCAGAGGAGCGTAATAATAAGGTTTAGTAATCTGCCTAATAACCTAAAAAACGTTAAGAACAGTTTCTCTTTATAATAGACAACAATTACTTTTAAAACAGTTTTGAAATAACCACTCTTCTACAAGGGCTCAAAGTATTTTTTTTAAAAGATTAATGACAGGTTAGTGGAGATGGGGAAAGAATGAGACAATGAATTTTAGTATTCTGGAAAGCAGACAGATTGATAACAATGAAAACTGAAGTCTATCAAACAAGGGCATCTCTAAAGATACATAGCTATGCCTGGAAAGCTCATACTCTGGGCCCATGTAACACTGTGCTACTGGTGAGACTACTAGTTAGAGCACCAATTAGTGCCAAGTGTGAGGATTCTTTTTGTCATGTCTGTCCATTAGAACTGGATAGACCACAAATTTATTTCCGATAGGCCACAAAAAAAGCCACCACATGCAACTTTTGGTCATTACCAACTTGTTAGTACAGATTACTGGTTCAAATGTACATCAGGTCTCAAAATCAGCCAACTTCCAAAAAGATACTTTAAAAAAATAGCTATAATCTTAAGAAGCAGCTATTGCATTTAATGTTCATTTGTAATTTTCTTTCTTCCCACAAAGATAATAGGTATCTTATTTTCAAGTTAATTCCACAGAAAACCTCGTGCAATATTGCTAATCTCCTCTCATCTCAAGTCAACCAAAAATGTGTATTTCTATGGATATGTTTAAAAATTAAATTCAGAGCTGGTTTACCTTGAGCCATAAGCCGGTCAACTGATGTTTCAGGGACAAAGCAAGCTGATGCTAGTGGGACAGCTGCCTGCATCTCATCCGCACTTCCCATTGATGGTGATGCAGAAATGATCTAGGTAGTCATAAAAGCAAAGCAACTGATTCACTCTTTTAGTATTCTATTGTTCATTCTTAGTCCAAATATAGCTAATTTTTCAGGAGCAAAGCGTTTGAGGAACAGAACATGTATGTTTGTGTGTGTGTGTCTATGTTTCCAAAAATTGGTTCCTGGAATTACATTAAAAAAAACCCTGGCCTCACCTGAAGCTTTGCAGTGCATTCAATGGACAGTTTTTTGAAAACACTTAAGCTTTATCCTTCATAACTTCAACCATGTGAGCAGTCCCACTGAACTGAAAATGGGGCTACTCATGTTTTTAAACTTAAACTCCTGCATAAATCTTCCTAGGATCAAGACCTATGTCTTCTCTTGAAACACTTCATCATAAAATGTCCCGATACTGCAAACTTTAATGAATAAGTACAGACCTGCTGAGGCATTTTAGCTTTCTTGACTGGTAAACATTGAATACATTGGAAACCCCCAAACCCATTCTATTTTTTTCTGTAAGTCCTGATTTTTTTATATGCCGTGGAAAAGAAACACTGAAGCTTTTATACTTCAGCTTCTTATGTTGCCTCACCACAATATGATTGTTACTGTCTCTCTCTATGGACATTATTTCAAGTGATAGGTTTACCCTTCAACTTCTCTCAGAGTGAAACGCATTTGTTCATCCAATTTGCACTACAGCACACCATTTACTAAACATATTTACCTGCAGTACTAGGTACAACTCATCTTAGCCCTTGCAATAGAACCCTCCCCAGAATCTGAGACTAGGTGGTAAAAGCAGTGTCAAAAAACAGCTTATTCAAAACAGTATGATGTATTTCATCATAGAAACATTGCACACAGAGAGAATGGTAAAAAAATATCTGAAGCCAATATGCCTTGTCTTATCTCAACTTAGCCTCTCTTTGCCATTTACATGTATTTTGCTTAATCTAGATACCACCCCAAGTACTGTGGCTGGGATGAACACCTCTGGAACAGCTTTACCTCTTTCCTCATCCCCCTCAGTGTGTGCTTTCATGTCCCAGGATATCTTTTACCCATTACCCAAGCCCCTTTGTTTAGAAACTCCTGGACTCAAGTTTTCCCAGTCCTGATCAGAGCATGGTATGGGTTGACTTTCAAAGGAATTGGCCTATGTGTTGAGTAGTAAGGACTAGGGTTAACTACATCTCATTGTCTTCCTTTCCTGTCATCCTACAGACCTCCATAACCAGGGCTTGACAAATAATGTAATCGACAAAACCAGGTTTTACTTCTGAAATAAGAGGATTCCCTTCTCTTTCTCTGTAGATAAGAACAAAAGGCCTTATAAAAACCTACTGAAATCAGTGAAAACATATCCACAGACTTCAATAGGCTTTGTATATGTCTAAAAAGGAACTTCTGCTCTAGCCTTAGGGTTTGTAGTCATCCTAGATCTCCACTGGAGTGAGTGAGGAACTTTAGCTTGCCCATATTATCAGATACCACCTTATCACTCTCTCTCAAACATGATTTCATCACATACTTTTGAAGCACCAAGAATGTGCAATTTGCTTACGGCAGATATGACATTCAGCTCCTGAATTAGCTACAACTCTTGCTCCTAATTTCAGGGAACCACAAATGCAGTAGCTACAGTTATTTTGCACAATACAAGCTGAATTTGATATTAGGATTGGGTCTTTTTAAGCTTGTTGTATTACAATATTGTGGCTCTAGTGAAGAAGGTGGCTGCAAATTAAGCTATCATGGATTTTGAAGAAGCTTATAAGAATGGCTTCTATCTTTTTGTTTGCAGCGACTCCATCCTTTTTGTGGAGTACAATAGTTACTTTGGCCTTGGGGGGAATGAAGGAAGACATTTCTATGACCCTGCAGAATTTCAGAGCTCACTGATAGAGCATTTCCCCTTTATTAGGCATTTCTCAGTCCTTGACTGAAGTAGAATGGGAAAATTCTCTGATCCTTCTAAGATTCATTGTTACTATGATCCAAAGTGCAGCTTCCCTTCTTTGTGGGAGATGCTAGAGGTTGTAGAAATAGATGAGCATCAGGACAACTTTTAGGCTTCATCCACCCATTTTTTTTTTGTCTTTGATATTTATTTATAATATTTTTACCGGGCCTCTCTATTTAAAATACTTGAGGCAGCTTACAAAATTTTTAGATCTCTCTCTCTCTCTCTCTCTCTCTCAATAAATAAATAAATAAATAAAATTAAAATAAGATACCCCAGGAGGACAAAACCTGCTCAGATATCTTGAGAGGAGGGACACACACAGACTCAGACACCAATAAAAGCACGAGTAAAAAGGGTGGCTTTAGCCTGGTGCCGAAACAATGCTAGCAAATATCCCGGGGGAAAACAATTCCACAGCCTGGGAGCAAAAGCTGAGAAGGCCCTGCTCCACATAGATGTTAATCTTATCTCCACAAGAGGCGGAACACAGAGCAGAGCCTCCCCAGCTGACCTCAATCCCCAGGCAGGTTCATATGGGAGAAGATGGTCCTTCAGATACCCTGGACCCAACTCATTTAGGGCTTTATAGGTCATAACCAAGACCTGAAATTGTGCCTGGAAACATACTGGAAGCCAGTGCAGTTGCCGGAGTACCAGCATAATGTGCTCCATATAAAGAATATTAACTTGAACAGCTGCATTCTGGACCAGATGAAGTTTCCAAAGTTTTTACCATTTGAGCACGTGGTATAGGAGGACCAATTATTTTTCTTGTCTGTCCTCTCCTTTTGTCATAAACTATGCTGTGAAAGTATCCTGAGCAAATGAAGTTCTTCATTGGCCAACAAATAATGAGATGAAGTGCAGAGGATCATCCTAACAGAGCTCAGATCTTTCTCATGCACAGATGAACAGTCAAAGTGTGTATCAGATCCCTTGCCAAGTGGTCTTAACTGACAGCTTAAGAATCAGGGAGAGCAATCTATCACTTATCTCATTAAAGGTGAGGATTTTTGGCTTACTAATGAAGAAAAATCCTTGAACGACAAGCAGAGATCAGTTTGCAGAATCCCAAGTATTCAAGACGACTGTGCTCTTTGTAAAGTAGTTTGTGTTCAAGTATTTGCTGATTCTGGGAGATGTGAAAGCCAAAACAAGTGGAATCCCCTTCCAATCTGTTCTCTTGGAGCAATCATGTCTGAAGAAACCCTTCTGAGGTGTGTCAGGTGGTGTTTACCTCTTAGCCTTTGACTTATTCAGCTTTGTAGGGAGGGAGACAGAATGAAAATAAAAGCTAGCCCACTAAAAGAAATGGATAACAAGCAAGTATTGCTTGCAACTAAGGATGTTAAATATCAACTAACTGACTAATCGAATAGTCGATGCATTTTGCATTGACTATTTGATTAGTCGATAGGGCACTTCCACCTTTGAATTATAGCAACAGTCCTAGTTCTTTCACTTTGAAACTCTGCGCCCAGGATCAGAAGACTCCAGCTGATCCCGGGCGCCCCACAACACTGCCGCTTTGAAATGCTGGGAGGAGCCTGACGACAGGCTTCCCACAACGTTTCAAAGTGGCAGCGCTGCAAGGAGCCTGGGGACAGCTCAGATCCCCTGCAGATGGGCTTCTGCCATCCCCCCCGCTGCCTCTCTATCAGAAACAGCAGCACAGGGTGATAGGCGGGAGCTGAACTGCATATGAAGCCCATTTTTAAACTTGCTCCCCTCGTGGACCAGCTCCCACCTTCCACTCCATGTTGCAGCAGTGTGGGATGTCAGGGGTCTCCCCGGGAGTGGTGCTGCGAGCACACCTCCAGGGACTACTGAATAGTCGTGTAATCGCTAAAATGTCATGAGGTTGCACTACGCCCGCGGCTACACGTGGCACAGAGTAGGTAGTTCGAATTAGGCTCTCTGATTGGAACTACCGTTACTCCTCGTGGAATGAGGTATGCCGGTAGTTCGAATTAGAGAGCCTAATTCGAACTACCTACTCTGTGCCACGTGTAGCCGCGGGCACGGCGTCCGCACTAAGGGGGATTTAAAAACGGCGGCGCCCGGCAAGATGCAAATGAAGCCCAGGATATTTAAATCCCGGGCTTCATTTGCAACTTCAAATGTCTACATTAGCCACCCTAGTTCGAACTAGGGTGGCAGTGTAGACATACCCTAACATCCCTAGTAAATGCAGAAAGAAAGGTACAGCACAAATGTCAGATTTGCATAGAGGTCAGGAACCAGAAGTGAAATAACCCAAGCTCCTAAAAAATCAGAAGGCTGATTAACAAAAAATCACAGGCCATAAACCTACTTTTTTTTAATAAAGAAACTCTTCAACTGTCATAGAAAAAGTCTGGTAAATAACTATACATAAACCAGAAAAGCTGGCGTGTTGAAAGAAAGACCATGTGTTCATTACTACATACAAAATAAGCTTAAAGAAGGAATCTTTATTATTGTCATCCAAAGCTTCAATAAACCATTAGGTTCAGGTAAAACTTATACATTATCCTTACTTTGTGTTGTCAAGCTGCCTGAACCTTACAGCCCAAGAAAAGGAAAACAAGGTCTAAAGTAAAAATCCATAATCATTTAAACAAGTTATAAAAATATACCTTGTTAGCTTTTTGCACCAGTGAAGCCTTTGCTGGTAATTACCTCACAGCATTACAGCAGCATAAAGCATAAAAACAGAATTGTTGTTCTATCTAAAAGAACACACACAATAATACATCCTCATTTTCACAATGTTCTGCTGTCCCAGAAAGGAAAGATCTTATCACCTTCCCAAATTACCTCGGATGATGATAAAATGAGGGTACAGGAATCATAAATGGCAAAAGGATAATCAGCAAGATCTTTGAACACCTACATTTTATAATATAAAGCTAATATAATACATGTAATATAATTCACTCATGTACAGTGATAATGTTAAAGAGAGAGAATGTTAAAAAAGAAATGTCTTATTTAATAGTCCCCCCCCCCACACACACACACTTTAGCTACTATACTCTACGTGCTGAAGGGAAATGTGACATTATGTTCCATATTCTTTACAAAAATATGCTTATGAAATGAATATGATATAACTGAGATGTACTTTAAGCAAGATAATGCACATATAATATCATTGGCAAAGTTGTGATTTACTGAATGATTTACTGAATTTTCCAATTTGTATGCTTGTATCATTTCAGTATCCAAAGTTAAGAAAACTGACCCTGTAACTATATTTTATTGGTGATAAGCACTGATAACACTTCAGGTACAGGTTGAACCTCTCTGGTTCAGGACTCTATGATCCGGCAACATCTGTGGTCCAACAGGACCACGGATGTTGCTGCACCAGAGCGCCCCGGGAAGCAAACAACAATGGCAGTAAGCAGAGCTGAGAACCAGGTGTCCCCAGGGCAGTGGAGTCCCAGCAGACTCGGGGCTGGCAGCGAAGCAGGGATTTCAGCTGCCTGGGAGCAGCGGAGCCCAGAAGCTAGGAGGGGAGCCCATCTGGGTCTGCTGATGGATCCCAGGAAAGCCCAAAGTCCAGCAGCAGAGGGGGTTGGAATTGACCTCCTCTGGTTTGGCAAACTCTCTCTTTCAGGACTGGTGAGATCCCAAGGGTACTGGACCATGGAGGTCCAACCTGTATTACAATGGAAAAGATGGACAGCTAATCCTACATGAAATCCTTGGCCTTGCTGTGGATACTCCATACTGTTACTGATTTGTGGATGCTGTGATGCTAGAGAATCAGGTGATCTGGTCACCTGATATTAACCACCACTTTGAACTACAGTATTCTTCTACTGGGAGATGGAGAATCAAACAAAGGAAACCCCATAATAATTCTATCCAAGGAGCAGAGATGTAACCAATTCAGACCTTCAGTTTGCTACACCTCCCCAAAGAGATAACTAAAAACACAAAGGACTTGACCTGGGAGTGGAAGACAGGGAAGAGAGAACAGATGAACCCAGACTAGAAAGACCCCTCAGCCCTGTAAAGGACTCTACCTAAAACAATATTCAGGGAGAGGAATTATCTACAACAATGTCTTTAGTTAGTAAAGCTTAGTTTGCATGTATTACATTATTTTCTTAGTAATCTGCTTTGTTCTGTTTCCTACATCTGACATACCTTTTTATAGTTAATAAGCTTATCCATGTTTATAATATAACTCCATGTATGTGCTTTCTAAATGGGGGGCAGAAAGTTGTGCCTTCCTTGCTCCAAACTAAGGGAAGAGGCAAATTGCATATAACGTTTGGCCTAAGAACCTTGCTCAGCAAGACACTGTTAAAAGGTGCCTAAGTTGGAAGAAAAGACAGGCTCAGTAGTATGTACAGCAAATCAGATAACATCCTGGGCGTCCAAGCCGTCATAGGAAATACTTCCTCGGAGAAGCAGAAGTTACATGCTTCAACTATTCAGACTATAATCTACAGAAATTTAAAAATGCTGATATGGTATCAAAGTCTGTAAACCAAAGAAATCCTAAATATATGATCCTATTAAAGGAAGCAGTGAGGACAAACAGATAGGTGAACAACTCAATTAGACACTGGAAAATGGAATTTTATTCCAAACTCTGCTATTGTCCTGATGTGTCACCTGGAACAAATTAGTTCACTTTTCTGTGCCTCAATGTCTCCATTTGCAAAACAGGGATAACTACTTATCTCTTCTATAAGGCACCTAGAGCTCTAATGGATTAGAACCACTATACAAGAACTAGGTATTCATTTTGTCAACGATAGTCAACTTTTATGATTTATTGGGGGTGGAAGCAATTCTAATTTGTACATTAGAAGTAGGTTAAATGTGGGCAAAGCCAAAAATAGTTACAGTAATTTAATATCATGCTTGTTTAAGACCACTGAAAATCCATTTTAACTAGGTCTGATACAAAAAAGCTGACTGAAAATAAGAATTGTGTGTCATTCAAAACCATCATTGAAAGAAAAAGATCACCATTATTTTGCAGTATGTCTACACTGCAGTGTTTTTCCATAAAAACAATACTTGCGTCCACGCTGCCATTGAGTTCTTTTGACAAAGTCAAAAGAATTGAGGGGTTTTTCCAACGGCGGTAAACCTCATTCTACGAGGAAGAAGACTTTTTCCAAAAAAGCTTTTTCAGAAAAAGGCATGTTTGGACACAGAAGAGGGAGTTATTTTGAAAGAACTCCAGGAAATAACAGGTGCCCTCATGGCTACTCCGTCCAGAATAATTACAACTTAAATGTGAGATAGCATCCACATTGATTGGACGCTATCTTTCGAAAAAGCACATCGCTTTTTTGTTGAGCTTTTGCTGTGTGGATGCTCTCTTTCAAAATAAGCTTTTCTGGAAAATTTCTTCCGGAAAAGGTTCTTCCAAAAAGAAGCTTGCAGTCTAGATGTAGTCAGAATCTCAACTGAACTTTGTTGTGCTAAAAATATTATGGAGGCCCAAAAGAGGCTGTGACTTCGCACCTGCATACAATGATATTCTGACACACAGTCATGATTTTGTGATGTTATGTGGTTGCAGCGCCATAAGGCAAATATTGGATCATTGTGAAAGTATAGATTGGACATAGTAAATATTGAAAACTGTAGTAGAAACGACTTCATTTGGATTTACGCAACAGAGCAAACTGCAAAGCAATCTTTAGAAAATGTCATCAGATGTAGAGACTCTAGAATTACAATTTATCTGCATATATAACTGGATAAATTAAGCCCCTATTTGTGAACTTACATATGTGAGGACATGCAAAGGTTTTACTAAGTTTAGTTTTAGTAAATAACTATAAAGCTTGATGATTGCATAGCTTAATTTTGCAATGTTTACAGTTTCAACACATTTGGCCATTTTCTTGAAAATATTATATAAATAATATTACATGTAATATGAATGCATTATTTTGGCATTTACCATAGTATCAGATGTTGACTGTGAATGTGGAGATTGACTTTGACTGGATGGAACTCTCCAAAGATTAACAGAATCATCAAAATCTGCAGAAAGAGGAAATCATAGCTGAGTTTTGAACTATTCTGATTTGAAATTTTATTTTTATGGGGGGGGAAAAAGGTATAGAAAACATGGAAAGGAATATATAATCAACCACAAAAATAAAGTTACTAAGGAAGAGGAGGTTACTCACCTGTGCAGTAATTGACATTCTTTGAGATGAGTGTCCCTTTGAGTGTTCTACTGTCAGTGTTGGTGCACCTCTGCACGATTGATCAGAGGTTTTTAGAGCAGTGTCCTTGCGGGCCGTGCAGGCACAGTGCATGGCTCACACACCTTTGGTGCCCTGACATTGTGCATGTGCAGCTTCCTTCTCTGGAATGGAGACCACACTAAAATTCCAAAGTTGAGGAGAGGAGGGTGGGGAGTGGAGCACCCACAGGGACACTGATCTCAAAGACTGTTAGTTACTGCACAGGTGAGTAACCTCCTCTTCTTTTTTGAGACATGTCCCTGTGGGTGCTCCACTGTAGGTGACTGAAAAGCTGTATGTATTAAGGAAGCAGGCACTTCAGATCTGGTGAAAAAGCTGTGGCTAGGACAGGTTTAGCCATGCTAATGTCTAAGAGCAGGCTTCGAGTGAGTGCCCAGTGTTTTGCAAAAGTTTGCTCTGAGGCTCTGAAGAGGTCCATAATTAGGACCTTGTGTAACAATGCTATGGATGTGGATACCAATCTTCTGCAGGGTGCTCAATGTTGACCTTGTTGGGTGATAGCATAACCAGATGCAATCCAATATCCAGTGTGAAAGCCTCTGTGAGGAGATGGCTTTACCTTTATTATGGTCTGTTATTGATATGAATAATTTGGGAGAGGATTTAAAGGGTTTTGTCCTGTGGAGGTAAAAGGATAATGCTCTGCACATGTTAAGCATGTGCATTGTGGATTCAGATGTGCTGGCATGTGGTTTTGGAAAGGACCGCCTGGTTATTATTAAGGAAGGAAGAATGAACTTTTGGTAGGAATCTGAAATGAGTGTGGATGGAAACTTTGTCCTTAAAGAATGCTTTGTATGATGGTTCTGCCATGAGTGCTGCTATTTTCCCCATTCATTTGGAGGACATGATAGCTACCAAGAGTGCTGTTTTCTACAATAGATGCAAGAGACAACATGTTGCCAGTGGTTTGAATGGTTAGTGCATTAGAGCACTGAGCATGAGGTGAAGGTCCCAGGGCTCTGCCAGGATAAAGGGCTGGAAGACCCCCTAAAGAATCTCTGTGTTAATGGATGTGCAAATATAGAAGTATTCTCTCTTTTCAGGTTGAAAATATTAATGGCTGTGAGATCTACCTTTATGGAGCGAAGGGAGAGAGCTTAAGGTGTAAAAGGTAAACAAGGATTCATAGACTCATAGACTTTAAGCTCAGAAGGGACCATTATGATCATCTAGTCTTAACCCCTGCACAGTGCAGGCCACAGAATCTCACCCACCCCTCCCAGAATAATCCTCTCACCTATATCTCAGATATTGAAGCCTTCAAATACTTTGAAGGCCCCAAGATGCAGAGAATCCTCTAGCTGTGATCTGTACCCCATGCTACAGAGAAAGGCGAAAAACCTCCAGGGCCTTGAGAGGTTCTTGAGAGGGATGTTGAGGCAGACATCTGTTAGAGCACCAGTGGGTAAATCGTTTCCATTTTTGCACATAGATTTAGTGAGAGGTCTGAGTTCTGCTATGGAGTAACACTGCTTGAACAGGTACAGACCATTTTAGTTCCTGAGCGGAGAACCACTGAAGTACCAGGCTTTGAGATGTAGCATGTGAAAGTTGGGGTACTGTGCCTGTGTTTCTGGTTGTGACAAGAGATTGTGGTTGGACGCAAGAGCAGAAAGACTATCATCCTGGTGAGGAAGGGGTGTAAGGGTTGTCTGTGCCATGAGGGGACTGAGGAGTATGACACTAGCTCTGTTCTTTCATATTTTTTCTACTACTCAGTTCAAGAGTGGTATTGATGGGAAGGCATATAAGAGACCACAATCCCATGTGATTAGTAGTGCATCTCCCAGAGACTGTTTGCCTATCCTGGCTCTGCAGCAGAAGTCTGGTCACTTCTTGTTGCTATGAGTGGTGACAAGATAGATCCTGGGGTGACCTTACAGATTGAAGATTGGGTTGATTGCTCAGTTTGTCCCGCATGCATGTTCTCCCGCATGCAGAAAGAGCTCAGCTGAGTGGGTGTGCGATGGTATTGAGAAATCCTAGAAGGTGAAAGGCAGATGTTGTTATTCTATGCTGGAGACACCAATTCCAGAATCTTATGGATTCTGTGCAGAGAGTGTGAGATTGAGCTCCCCCCCTCTTATTTCTGTATATAAAATATGTAGGCTACATAGTTGGTGTAGACCAGAGGTAGGGAACCTTAGGCCCAGGCGCTGCTTGGATCTGATCCCCAAGGTTCAGCATTGGGGAGCCCACACTGGTGCTCAAGCCCCTCTGCCAACCACCCACAGGACTGGAGCACACAAAATCTAGTAGCCTGGGCCCCCCTTAGCTCTGGAGTGCAAAGGGAATGTGGGGAGTGTCTTCTTCCTTCTCTGTCAGGGGCTTCTTTTTTTGGGTCTGGGGCCACACAAGTGATTCCCTACCCCCGGTATAGACTCTGGGTGTGCAAAGGGAATGTGGGGAGTGTCTTTCTCCTTCTCAGTTAGGGACCACATCACTGAGAGTTTGGTTTTTTGTTTTTCACTTGTGTGCAGCTCCTTACTGATTTTTCTGTGGGTCAGTGGCCCCCCAACCCTGAAAAGGTTCCCAACCCCAATCTAAAGAATGGTAATGAAGATAACAATTTTCTCTGAGGAACACTGCGGGGCTCCATCTCTGGCCAGGGACAGCAGAGAAGAGACTGGGGGGGAGGAGAGGTTGTGAATGTGTGATGTCAGGCTACTGAAGGTGCATGAGCCAGGCACTGCACTTGTGTGGCCTATGAAGAATCTGCTCAGGCACACCAACACCTACAGTGGAGCACCTACAGGGACATCTCTCTCGAAGAAAAGAAGTTAATTTACTTGTAACTGGAGTTTTTCAAGATAGGATCTGCATATTCCCATTCAGGGGATGTACCAGCAGGGGGAAGCTCAA